AGCCCGCCCGGGGCCCGCGCCCCGCGCTCCCGCCGCTCCGCCACTTGCTTTTTTTCCTTCCAAGACCAAACTTGTCATTTGGTCCTCTTCCTCTGTCCTGGGCCTCGGTCCTCACGGGAGAGGAGCGCGTGGAAGGCGAGCCCTGGGCCCTAACGGGGTGTTTGCGGCCCCCGCCGTCCTGAGCCTTTCCCTCCACCTGGGGCACGAGCACGGATGGGGCTGCGGGCGGGGCCGACGCGGGTCCCCAGGCTGTGGAAAGGCGGAAGTGCAAATGGCCGGGGGAGACCTGCTCAGGGGTGGCCGTCCCTTCTTGCACTGGGGCGGGGGATGAGCCTCCTGGCCCGAGAGCCTGGGTGGTTCCACGCGCCTTCTCCGCAGCTTCCTCCCACCCTTCGCGTTCTGCCCCGAGGCGAAGGGCGATGGAAGGCAGCCCCCACCTCCACCGCCGACTCCCCTGCCCGCAGGCCCCCCTCTGCTCTGTCCCCGCCTCCCGGGGCGCGGACAAGGCCAGCTCCACAGGCACTGAACGTGGGCCGCCTCGCTCTCCTCCACCCGCAGACCCCGCCGAAGCTGTGCCGAGATGTGCGACGACGAGGAGACCACCGCCCTGGTGTGCGACAACGGCTCCGGGCTGGTGAAGGCCGGCTTCGCGGGCGATGACGCGCCCCGCGCCGTCTTCCCTTCCATCGTGGGCCGCCCGCGCCACCAGGTAAACTGCGCGCCGCTCCCCTGAAGCAGCCCCCAGCCCCACTCCACACCCCTTCCTGCCACCTCTTCAGCCCGGCAATCTAGGAAATTTCTCACCTGACCTTCCTGTGTCACGAACTCTTTAGGCCAAATAGGAAAAGATGGATTAGCTTCAAATCCAAGCCAAGACAAGCAATACTCCCAGCTTCCAACATACCAGGACATGTGCGTCCCCTCCACCCCAGTCCACTGCAGGGTCTCAGCTCACCGAGGGTCCGATTCCCCCATGTGAAAGAGCAGCAGCTTCTGTCTTTCACTCCTGACCCGCCTTTTTAGTCCTCAGTGTCTTCTCTTCTGCCTCCCCTTTTCTGTCCTGTTCAAAACTCATAATAATACAACTTAGCCCAACCAACCGGGAGCCAGGCCACGTTGCTCCCTCTTGTTCACAGCCAGATTATAGGGCTCCCAAAAGATGTAATCCATCTGCTTCCTGGCTGTTGCATTTTTAGAAGCCAGGCGTGACAGAGGCAGTAAGTGTCATGGTGATAGTGACATGCCACCTTGTTTATTAAAAGAAATGCCACGCTCTCTGGCTCTATGGCTTTGCCACAATGCCAGACAGGCTGCCAGGGAGGAGGGCAGTACTCCTCAGTGCGGGTGAACGATGGCTCCTCCAGGACCGCCCTGGGCAGGCTGGACTTCACCGACAGAGTGTATCAGTCCATCTTTTTATGTTCGCTTGATGAATGTCAAAATCTTTTCTTAGGAGAAATACAGTGTGTCATTAATTCAGTCATTCCACAATGTGGTCATTTATATTCCAGTTGACATGGGTGATGAGCTTAATAATTTAGTGAAAGGATTATGGTATTTTAAAAATGGGGTGAGAAAAAAATGAGATTAGGCTCTGCTTCTTCAGTGAAATAGCTTCATCCTCCACCTAGTTATATTCTAAACAGTAGAATTATACCTCTTGGGGTGGGGTGAGGAGAAGATAAAAGATCGATTTTAAAGGATGTTTCTAGATTGGGGTAAAATCCTGTTGTTTATTATTTCTGGTATTCATAAGATGTCCCTTGACTTGGGCAGTTAGGATAAATTAATAAGGCATCGATTATATTCCTGACATGGTGGAAGCTTGATTTTCTCATCTCTTTCTTCTCACAGGGAGTCATGGTGGGCATGGGTCAGAAGGATTCCTATGTAGGTGATGAGGCCCAGAGCAAGCGAGGTATCCTGACTCTCAAATACCCCATCGAGCACGGCATC